ACTAAGCGATGTTGTTCCCAGGATAACTGATTTACACCGCCTGGTTAGAAGTTGGTGGTCAATTTGCAAGATGTTTATTTCTGGGTGTAGAACCTTACTGGTGGTCCACGGCTCTCGCTAGGCTATCTAGTGCTGAATTCACTGAAGCTTAACTTCACTTTCAACACGTGTGCATGCGTGCACGCTATGGCGACACCGTGGTGTAATGGTAAATATGCTTGTTTCGCATTTGATGGTCCCAGGATCGATCCCGAACAGGATGAAATTCTGAGCAAGTTTCTTTACGCCATTTGCCTCTGTCTACCCAGCAGTAATTGGGAACCTGGATGTTAATCTATTTGTGGATTGTGTTCCGGGATAATGGTTAACCATCCAGTTGGCAAGTTGTCAGTCTCCTCTCATTATTCCTTGACCCTGGGTCACACAACTCGTTAACTGAGGTGTGGTTGTTGGTTTGCATAGCTTCTGCACCATAAACAATACACGCCCAGTGGGCTTAATTCAGAATTCTCGAACACGAGCATAAACCATTATTAAATTATTGTTATGTATGTGTGTTCGTCTCCTCCAAACTAGTAGAATTGTATAACAACTTTAATTAATGAAAAAACTGCATCAATTACCTACACTAATGAGCCAAACATCCATTATATATCACATTTTAATATTCACCTATAATTATTGTTCTAAAATTTGTGTTAAGTTTTATATTGTGTGTTGCTGGTTTGCTGGTATGTGACTGTATCAAGCACCTCCATGAACCGTAGTTGACTGTATCAAGCACCGCCATGAACCGTGTGTTGACTGTATCAAGCACACGCCATGAACCGTGTGTTGACTATCAAGCACCCCATGAACCGTGTGTTGACTGTATCAAGCACCGCCATGAACCGTGTGTTGGCTGTATCAAGCACCGCCATAGAACCGTGTGTTGACTGTATCTTCTCTTGGTGACTAATTACCCTTGGGTTAGTGTATTACCTTACACCACTGTAATATTCTTATAAGTTACTGGAATGGTCACTCCAAGAACCTGACCTGTTATCCACCACCTGTTGACCTGTTATCCATCACCTGTTGACCTGTTATCCACCACCTGTTGACTTGTTATCCACCACCTGTTGACTTGTTATTCACCACCTGTTGACCTGTTATCCCACACCTGTTGACCTGTTATCCACCACCTGTTGACCTGTTATCCACCACCTGTTGACTTGTTATCCACCACCTGTTGACTTGTTATCCACCACCTGTTGACTGTTATCCACCACTTGTTGACCTGTTATCCACCACCTGTTGATCTGTTATCCACCTGTTTACCTGACCTGTAAGTTCATCATGTACAGCGCCCTAACAGCCTGCAGGTGACGTCAACAACGCTACTCATTTGACACTGGGGAGAAGACTCATTTTGACTTCACTAGGGAAGGCTCATTTGACTTCACTAGGGAGAATCATTTTGACTTCACTGGGGAGGGCTCATTTGACTTCACTAGGGAGAATCATTTTGACTTCACTAGGGAGAATCATTTTGACTTCACTAGGGAGGGACTCATTTGACTTCACCAAGGGAAGATGGCGGGTTGACACGTTGGCTTCAGGAGGTTTCCCAAAGCTGAAGAAATGATCCGGCGGGCGGTAGTGAAGGTAAAATTCAAATGGGTGTCGGTGATGGTTACTGGTGGAGGATGAATAATGGTCCCCTTCCTCCTCCCTCCTCCTTATCTTCCCTCCTCCTCCTCTATCTTCCCTCCTCTTCCCTCCTCCTTATCTTCCCTCCTCTTCCTACCCCCTTCCTTTTTTCCTTCTTTCCTTCATTCGTTATAGAGGTCAGGAGCAGCCATGTGTGTATATCAGTTGCCACCCACCCACCGCCCGTCCACCCCCCTTGCCCACCGCCCACTTGTGCTCTCACCCCCAACTGCTGCCTCAACTGTGTCCATACAATGAGGTACAGCTTTAGTAAACGCTAAATTTGCAGGTACGTTGGGCAGAAAATTTGGGACAGGTGTGATAGGGACTCTGTCTGTCTGTCTGTGGGTGTGTCTGTCTGTCTGTATCTGTCTGTCTGTCTGTCTGTTAAATGGACAGGAGGTCTCTTTATATATACGGGATATGGGAGGGGTTGCCAGATGTCGTCTTTGAGAGAGGGTCGACCCACAATAATTTGGAGGTGTGGTGTCACATTCATTAGCAGTGCAGCGCCTTAAAAACACACACACACACACACACACACACACACACACACACACACACACACACACACACACACACACACACACACACACACACACACACACATATATATTTTGCCACAGTAATTCTTGTCCATGACGCAGGTGTTGTAGACCATCCCGGCACTCACTAGACTATCCTGGCACTGACTAGAAGTACTAGACTATCCCGGCACTCGCTAGACTATTCTGGCACTCACTAGACTATCCTGACACTAACTAGACTATTCTGGCTCACTGAATATCCTGGTACTCACTAGACTATCCCGGCACTCACTAGACTATCCTGGCACTCACTAGACTATCCTGGCACTCACTAGACTATCCTGGCACTCACTAGACTATCCTGGCACTAACTAGACTATCCTGGCACTCACTAGACTATCCCGGCACTCACTTGACTATCCCGGCACTCACTAGACTATCCCGGCATTCACTAGACTATCCGGCACTCTTGACTATCCGGCACTCACTAGACTATCCCGGCACTCCTTGACTATCGGCACTCACTAGACTATCCCGGCACTCACTAGACTATCCCGGCATTCACTAGACTATCCGCACTCATGACTATCGGCACTCACTAGACCAGTGGTTCTCAACCTTGTTTGCCCCATGCACCCCTTTCACCATATATCAGAATGTCATTCACCCTCCTCTCCAAGATTGTCTGCCCCAAAAGTGCATTCCAAATAATATGCATATAATACTGAAAACCTTTATTTTTTCCATATTAGTACATATACATTTACAATTTTACATGGATTATTTTTATAGTGGAGTTTTACAAATAAATCCCAATTGAAAATGTTGATGGATTTTAAAAACTTGAAATAAAAGCAAAATAGTTTTTTTATTATAATGAATTACTTAACAGACCAAACTGAAGCATAATGCAATAAACAAAAGTTCAATAGAATACCAGGATATTGTAAATTTGTAATTAATTTTATTCAGATGAAGATTGCAGTCAATGAGAAACCCGGATTGTTTTTTCTTCGCCATTCTGGGATACGGGAGGAGTGCTTGGGCACAACGCAGGTCATTTTCTACTCTAATCTACTCCGTTGCTTGTTTTAATTTGCAACAGAGTTTAAAGCCTGACTCACAAAGATATGTCGACAACGAAGTATGCACGGATAGTTTCTGCCACTTTTGGGTAGGAATTCCACATCAAGGCCAAAATTTGTATTGATTTCTCATCACATCTCTTGCTCCAGAATCAGTTCTCTCCCTGAAAACCTGAATTTCCCCTGTTGAGAACGCCTGGTTTAGGTTATATTTGGTTGGGTTAGTTATATTTGGTTGCTTAGTTATATATTATATATTATCGTGTTATTCTGCCGGTGTCTATGTGGCATCTCTCCAGTCTGACCTTGTGGCACCATTCCTGTACTTGAGGTGTGGAGGGGGAGTTTTATATGCAAAGGCGGCCTTTTCACCTCTCCATAGTGCCTGAGCGCTCCCTGAATGAGTGCCTCTGCAATGACTTTCAGGATGAAAAATGGCTCTGGGAATATGACTGATTGACCTCTAAGAATAACAACTAGAATGACTGTCCCAAGGAATAATGACTGTTGAAATGACACACTCTCTCTCTGATGGAGGTGGAGGGCGAGACAGGTGGAGGGGAGGCAGGTGGAGGGGACAGGTGGAGGGCGAGACAGGTGGAGGTGGAGGGCGAGGTAAGAGGCAGGAGGATCACTCAGCTTTAACACATGAGTTATGAACCCTACATACACAGAGAAAGAGAAAGAAAGGAGAGAGACAGAGAGAAAGCAACACACACACACACACGCACACACACACACACACACACACACACACACACACACACACACACACACACACACACACACACACACACATTCTCATTTGTATTCAGCAGCGACGCTCACCACAGCCCGGCAGTAAGGGAAAAAATCCCTCAGATTTGTAAGGGTCCAGTGAGGGAAAATCCCACGCAGATTTACATGGATGCATATGTAGGGGGATTTGGGGGCATTTTAGGACATATGAAGGACAGCTGGTGGTATTTTAGCATTCTTGAGGCATATGGGGACATTTTGGGGGGTAATTTTGATTATATATGATACACCTTCTGGGCTACGTCATGACCTCTGTATCTGATATTAAGAGGCTGGAGACATACCAACCCATATGGTGAGAGGCTTCTTCCTTCCCCCTTCCCTTCCCCTTCCCCTTCATCCTCTCCCCACCTCCCTCTCTGCCCCCCTCACCCTCCCTCTTCTCGCCCTCCTCTCCCCCACCTCCCCCTTCTCGCTCCTCTTCTACCCCTTCCCCTGTTGCTTCTCTTTCAGGGAGGGAGGAAGGGGAAGTGTGACTGGGAGAGGGGGAGAGGGAGGAGAGGGAGAAATGAATGACAACGTGTACGTGACATTACTGTCCGTAACACACACACACACACACACACTGTCTCTCTCCTCCTCCATATTAATAGCACACATTTTCCATATAATGTGTATAATGTATGTTACTATACACCAACCCCATATAATGTGTATAATGTATGTTACTATACACTAACCCCCATAATTGTATAGTGTATGTTACTATACACCAACCCCATATAATGTGTATAGTGTATACATATACACTAACCCCATATAATGTGTATAGTGTATGTTACTATACACTAACCCTTAACGTGTATAGTGTATGTTACTATACACTAACCCCTATAATTATAATGTATAGTATGCCTTATAGGCCGTGCAGTTATGTTGTATTTTCTCTGTATTTCAGTTTATGAATGAAAAGATTGCGGAGTTGAAGGAACCAAACTAGATGAAGACTTTTCGAAATGGAAAGGGTGAGTGTTCCTAGTAGAATATTCTGATATACCATGTTGCTAGTAGTATACCATGTTGTTAGTAGAATATTTTGATATACTCTGTTGCTAGTAGTATACTCATGTTGCAGAGTAGAATATTCTCTGAATACTCTTGTGGCTAGTAGTATACTCATGTTGCTAGTAGAATTTTCTGATATACTTCTTGTGTCTAGTAGTATACTACATGTTGCTAGTAGAATATTCTGATATACTCTCTGTATAGTAGTATACTCATGTCATGTAATAGTATAATCTGATATACTCATGTTAGCTAGTAGAATAATCTGGAGATAATCTCTTGTGGCTAGTAGTATAATCTGATATACTCTTGTTGCTAGTAGTATAATCTGATATACTCATGCTGTTAGTAGTATAATCTGATATACTCTTGTTGCTAGTAGTATAATCTGAGATACTCTTGTGGCTAGTAGTATAATCTGAGATACTCTTGTTGCTAGTAGTATAATCTGATATACTCTTGTTGCTAGTTGTATAATCTGATATACTCTTGTTGCTAGTTGTATAATCTGATATACTCATACTCTAGTAGTAATTACCTTTCATGGTATAACCATGCTATCACTTACACGCACTGCCGTGTGTGTGTGTGTGTGTGTGTGTGTGTGTGTGTGTGTGTGTGTGTGTGTGTGTGTGTGTGTGTGTGTGTGTGTGTGTGTGTGTGTGTGTGTGTGTGTGTGTGTGTGTGTGTGTGTGTGTGTGTGTGTGTGTGTGTGTCCTTCCTTACTATTACAAAACTATAATTAAATTGTTTACGTTATGGTTTAGCTTCCAGCGGGGAGAGAGGAAGGAAATATAAAATTGTGGAAAAGGCTGAAATGGGACGAAGAAATGAAAACCATGGCGAGAAACCGTCGACGAGCAGTGTAACCGGTGGTGCCGTCCTTAGAGTTTTACGGTCCTGCTTACTGCACGAGCTAAGGGTCCGTCACACATACACACACACACACACACACAAAACTACATACCTTTTCATTACACCCTCTCCTCCACACACTTCCCTGTTCATCATCCAGCGCTCCTACGACATTAACACGTTGATATTTTCCTTAGATTAGTTTCTCAATCAATCTCACCAGATTAAAAAAAATAATAATAAATCTACTAATTGACCTGTTGTCATCTCTACGTACCATCAGACACTTCGTGGGACGTAAGGGAAACTCTATTAAATTTACGGGGCCGGACTTCCATATGTCATGTCACCTTTCCTGAATGCTCTCTAACTCAAGACAAAAACTACGGTAAATTTGAAGTTTGGAAAGAAAAATCGATGATTAAGGAGGGAGATTTCACGATAAAAAAAATAATTCCATTTTTTTTTTTCTCGCGATAGTTATGAGTTGAGGATTTGTAAAGAATATGGAAAGCTGGTGATGAGGTGAAGGAGACAGGAAGAAGTGAAGATATTGAAGGAGGTCTGGATGGCTACTGAGGACGTGTAGCAAATGTTCGTACGTTCATCATTTAATATTTTAAATGATCGCACGAGCTATTTCATATTAAACTGCACCTCACTTTAGCTACGGTACAATAGAACCAGGTTAAATTGTCAACGAAATTGTCATAATATATCGTAGATCATGTGTGTGTGTGTGTGTGTGTGTGTGTGTGTGTGTGTGTGTGTGTGTGTGTGTGTGTGTGGTGTGTGTGTGTGTGTGTGTGTGTGTGTGTAAGTGTTACTGTTCACCACCATTACCACCATCACTACTAATACTACTACTGTATCCCAATCACCACCACTGTAACACTTACTACCATCACCACCACCACCTCTACTACTACTACTTTTTACCGTACTAAACCAATAATATCACCACCAACCACTACTATTGCTAATACCTCCAACAACTAATACTATCACCTAGACGAGTGTAAATAAAGTGATGACCATGACATGAAGGCGGGGTTTAGTATTGGTGTAGCAGGCGGGTGGCGGGCAAGAGAAGCAGCCCAGTGATAAAGAGAGAGGGAGGAGAGTGGTGAGAGGAGGAGGCAGGCAGACTGACTCGCCACTGGTGGAGCTCATTGTACGTATTTGTCCGCTGCTCTGATGTGTGGGGCGTGAGGAGGGATGGTGGTGTGGACACTTGACCTCTAGAAGACCCAGTGACCTCTGACCTCTGTATGACCAGCAAATGTGACTGACCATCTGTGTTACCCAGTATGTGACCCCTGATTATCTGTGTGTGTGTGTGTAATACCTCTCTCTCTCTCATCACACCATTACTTGTTTATTTCACTACACACACGACCACCTTGTACCACCTTTCCTCCCTTTAAATCTCCCTCTCCTTCCCCCGCCCCATCCTCTCCTTCCCAGTCTCTCAGGAGGATAAACGAACTGTGGGACTATGAAAACACATTAGCTGATGGATATTTTATAGCATGTTTGGTGGTGAAGTAATGGTCTCTCTCTCTCTTATTATGTATTTTACCCCTGAGTTCACATTATATCTGGCAAGATCATTGTACTCTGGATTAATTCATTGTACTCAATGGGTTTAAAATAACTTACTCACGGACTGAGTTATTGCACTCTGGAGGCTGGCCTCAGCTCAAGGGTTGTCAGCCTGGAGGAGGAGGCTATCACTCGATGGGGGACTGAGTGAGGTGTATCACAGATCGAACCACCACTGAAACTGCAGAGAGAGGCACCCTCCCCCTCTCTCTCTCACCAAATCTCATTCTTTCTCTCACTTCCCTCACTGTCCCTTCACCCCACTCTCTCTCACTTCACTGTCCCTCTCACCCCTCACTTTCTACCTCTCACTGTCCCTTCACCTCACTTTCTCTCACCACTGTCCTCCTTCACCTCACTTTCTCTCACCTCTCACTGTCCCTTCACCTCACTTTCTCACCTCACTGTCCCTTCACCTCACTCTCTACCTCACTGTCCCTTCACCTCACTTCTCTTCTCTCACCTCTCACTGTCCCTTCACCTCACTCTTTCTCCCACCTCACTGTCCCTTCACCTCACTTCTTCACCTCTCACTGTCCTTCACCTCACTTCTTCACCTCTCACTGTCCCTTCACCTCACTTCTCTCACCTCTCACTGTCCCTTCCACTCACTTCTCACTGTCCCTTCACTCACTTCTCTCACCTCTCACTGTCCCTTCACCTCACTCTCTCACCTCTCACTGTCCTTCACTCACTTCTTTCTCTCACCTCTCACTGTCCCTTTCCACCTCACTTTCTCTCACCTCTCACTGTCCCTCACCCCACTTTCTCTCACCTCTCACTGTCCCTTCACCTCACTTTCTCTCACCCTCTCACTGTCCCTTCCACCTCTACTTCTCTCACTTCCTCACTGTCCCTTCCACCTCACCTCTCCCCACCTTCCACTGTCCCTTCCACCTCACTTTCTCACCTCTCACTGTCCCTTCACCTCACTTCTCTCACCGTCCCTCTCATCTCACCTCTCTCTCACCTCACTTACTCCCTTCAACCCACTTTCTCTCACCTCTCACTGTCCCTTCACCTCACTCCTCTCTCACCTCTCACTGTCCCTTCACCACTCTCTCACTTCTCACTGTCCCTTCACCTCACTTTCTCTCACCTCTCACTGTCCTCCTTCACCTCACTTTCTCCTTTCTCTCTACTGTCCCTTCAACCTCACTTTCTTTCACTTCACTGTCCTTCACCTCACTTTCTCTCACCCTCTCACTGTCCCTTCACCTCACTTTCTCTCACCTCACTGTCCTTCACCTCATCACTTTCACCTCTCACTGCTTCTGCCTTTTCTCACTTCTTCTAACCTCTACTTTTTCTCACTTTTACTCGTCCCTCACTGGTTACACTCAGCAGCCCGCACCACCCACACGCCCGCACCACCCACACGCCCGCACCACCCACACGCATGATATATAATTTTAATTTAACAAACAGAGCTATACCTCATCACACTATGCAACAACTTGCATTTTTATAATAATGTTAGAAATAATAGTAATAAAATACTACTACTACTACTACTACTACTACTACTAATAATAATAATAATAATAATAATAATAATAATAAGAGTTAGAGTTAAGGGTTTATTGATATCTTCTGCAGCTGAAGACAAAAAAAATATACAATGGATTGAAATGCCTTATTACATACAGTAACGTGAGGGTTGGCCGTTTAACAAAAGCTTTCATTACAAAATTAAAAGGAACTTGAGGTGAACATACGTTATTTTACAGTGGATGGTAGGGGTTGGTCCTATGCCCTTGTGATTGAGGTCACGTAGGTCAGTGTGTTGGAGCAGCAGTAGCCTTCACAGGTATTGTCATGATGGATCTCCAGTGTGTGTCAATCCGCTTGTCGTCTTTGTCTGAGGCAAAAACACAAGAAACCTCAAAAGAATAGGTCTATTTTTCCTTGATCCGTTCCGTATCCTTCAGTCTGAACCCCCAGTGAACCCTCTGAGACCGAATCCTGCTGTGAACCTCTGTTGTGTGAGCAACTGGGAATTCGTCGCCATCTTGGAGGGAAGATTGTCTAGGTAGCACCCCATGAGAACGTCGCACTGTGTGTGTGTGTGTTGGATGATTTTTCCAGGACTTCCATACAATCTATTTTATCATCTTCCAGACCACCCACCTTTACATTTTTCCAGACCTCACCCTCATCTTCCAGATACCCACTCCATATTTTCCAGACTCCCCTCATCTTCCAGACCACCCACTCCACATTTTCCAGACCTCACCCCCTCATCTTCCAGACTACCCACCCATATTTCCAGACCCTCACCCCCTCATCTTCCAGACCACCCACTCCACATTTTCCAGACCTCACCCTCATCTTCCAGACCACCCACTCCATATTTTCTCCAGACCTCACCCCTCATCTTCCAGACCACCCACTCCACATTTTCCAGACCTCACCCCTCATCTCCAGACTACCCACTCCATATTTCCAGACCCTCACCCTCATCTTCCAGACTACCCACTCCATATTTTCCAGAAACTCG